CATGCAGCGGGCGCGACGAGATCGTCAAGCAGGTGGAGTTGAGCACGACGGGGGGGGTTCAGATCAGCACGGTGATGAAGAGGCGCTTGGTGGCAGGACTGAGGAGTCAACGAAGGCGGGGGAGGTCATCATCGAGTGCGACTCGAAGAGTGGACCGGAGGACGCGGCGGCTAGGGCCTACTACGGTTTTTTGCAAGACCACCAGGACTATGAGGAGGGCCAGGTCAAGGAGGTGGTTAGGCTGGGAGACGCGGTGCTGGAGGAGGCGGGGTCGCTTGAGAAGGCGATTGTCGCCCTAAGGGGGGTCTGGTGGGAGGGGCATGGCTACCGCCTGAGGGGCATCTTCGACAAGAATTTGGAGCCGCTAGTAGAAGGCGCGCTGCTGGGATATGCGCGGAAGGTGGCCAAGGAGGGGGCTAGGACGAGGTTCAGAGGGGCACCGGCGCGCCTCAAGGCGTTGCCCCACCCCAGTGCGAAGGATCACCTTGATGAAGTGATGCACGCCCTCCGGGAGGATGCGGCGCAGGGCCGCGTCCTGCTGTGCACCAACGTCCACGAGCACCTACTCAGCAAGGTTGCGAGCGCGCCCATGGCGAGGGCGCCCAAGCAGAACCCAGACCGCACCATGAGCGACAAGGGCCGCCTCATTTGGGACGGGACGGTCCCCAACCAGAGCTGCCCCAAGGAGGACCACCCTCCAGCGGACCAGCCGCGGCATGAGGACCTCGCCCGTATCATCATGTGGCGGAAGGCGCGCATGCCGGGCGTGGACATTGTGCTGGCCAAGAAGGATGTCAAGGACGCCTTCAGGTGGGTGGTGATGCACGAGATGGATGCGTGCATCTTCGGCGCGGACCTTGAGGGAGGAAAGTGGGGTGTCGCAGCCCTGATCACGGCGGTCTACATGGTCCTCACGTTCGGCTGGACGGGCAGCCCGGGCGAGTGGATGATATGGGCACGGGTGGCGAAGTGCTACCATGCAGCCTACCGCCCTGCCGATGCGAGGTGGGATGACAGCGCCCCCTTTCACAGCTCGTTCCTCCTTGACGATCAGGTGCTCGTCGAGCCCGACATCGGCGCGAGAGCGGCTCAGAGCAGCGACGCGGCGCTCGAAGGGATAAGGGCGCGCCTCGGCGACGAGGCCATCAACGAGGAGAAGGTCCTCGAGGAGGGTGGCTGGGAGACGTCGAAGATATGCTGGGGCCTCCTCTATCACACCCGCGAAGGCACGATTGAGATGCCGGAGCCGAAGATCGAGAAGGCGGCCTATCTACTGGCGGACCCTACGCTGGACTACGGACATCAGACCACACCCTGGAACTTCTTGGAGATCGATCGGGGCAACCAGCAGTACTGGTGCCTCGTCATGCCAGGCGTGCGTTGCCTCGTGAGCGCTACGGACGCGCTCATGCGGGGTCGCCCGAGGAGGCTCGCAGGTCCCAGGGGCGATGATCAGCAGGGGCACTTGGCGTGGACGGACTTCTGGCAGGCCACAGAGGTGGCGCGCGTCCTGGCAGCGGATAGGACGAAGTGGAGCTCACGCTTCGCGGGCGCGCTGCCTGGCGCCCTCTCCATCAATGAGAAGTTGGCGCTCCCTTGTTGGCAGTGTCGCGTGATATGGGTCACTGGCGACGCCACCCCGCAGAGGGTCGCCACGGTCGACTGGGTCAACGCCAAGTGCGCCTTCCACGCTGTGCCTGACTTCACGCAGGCGTTGTGGGAGGCGGTAGGCGTAGAGGAGGATGAGGAGGCCATCATCGCGATCGCCGAGTTCATGAACCTCGTGACGTTCGCAGCCAAAGCAGGAGTGGAAGGCTGGTGGGAACGCGGGGTGGTGATGTACGGCGGGGACAACTACAACGTGCACTGTTGGCTCCAGAACCGCAGGGCGAAGAGCCGGCACGCCAGCTTCCTGATTACGGTGGCCACGTGCCTCGAGGCGGTCTACGGCTATGAGGTCGAGAGCGCCTACTTCCGCACGTACCGCAACGTCACCGCAGACACCTTCTCCAGGGTCGAGGACGAGGAGGCGGTGGAGTTGGCCAGGTCGAGGGGTCTGGAAGTCGTCGACTTGCGTGGCAGCTGGGCCGAGCACCTCGAGCGGGGCTGGCTCCATCGGGCGCTGGTCTGGGAGGGCCAGAGTGATGCAGACGCCAGGGTCGCGAAGCAGCTGGCTGTGGCTCGACGCGAGCCTCACCGTCCGCGGACCCTCCAGATGAGACCGGGGCGGGCGGTGACTCTCGTCGAGTGGCGAGGTGCCACGGGTGCCTTGTGCAAAACGGGGGCCCGCCGGGGCGCAGGCGTTTGGATGCTCGCGGCTCCCGGAGCCCCAGGGGCGGGGCACACCGCGTGGCCCCCAGGCGCGGCAGAATGGAACGCCAGAGGCCCGGGGCACGCAGACGCGGCGGCAGCCAGCCTGACCAACGACGGCGGCGAGGAGGCGAGGCGCTGGGCGGAGTTCGTTGCGCAGGTGAAGGCGGGGGTCGCTACTGCGGACGCGCCAGGCCCCGCTGACCTAGGCCCTGCGTTGCGGAGGCTGAGGGGCGCAGGCTACAGCTGGGAGGAGGTGGGGGTGTGCTGCTCGAGACTGGGCGACCCGATCGCGAAGCAGCGCAGGGTGGTCTCGGCGGTCCAAGGCGGAGGGGGGGCGATGAGCTTGGGCCAGGAGTCCGTGGAGCCGCAGAGCGTCAGGTCGTGCGTCGGCAAGCTCAGCCAGGGCGCCATCAGACTCAGCAGCGAGGATGGCGAGCTGGTCCTGGACCCGCGTATTCCCAAGCGGGGGGGCCCCGACGGCGCGCGACCCTGCGGCCGCTGGCACCCCAGAGGAGGAAACGCCAAGGAGCTGGTGTATTCGTCAGAGGGTCCGTCGCCGAGCATTAGGAGCGCGGCGCTGGCAGAGGGGACTGGAGACCGCATCTTCTTCCATGATGCTCGGCGCCTGCTCCCAGGAGTCTGGCAGCTGGGAGGCGAGGAGATTTGGAAGCTCACAGGATGCGCACCGGCGATCTTTCGGCGGGCAGTTGAGGAGGACACCGAGACCAGCGACCTCGTGGCCTGGGGCATCAGAGCAGCTACCTCCCAGCTTGCGGACGCCATGATCGAGGAGGCGCTGTTCCAGCTGGAGAGCTCCCAGCAGCAACAGGACGTTGGCAAGACGGAGGTTTGCTCGCTAGCAAGAGAGGATGCGCAGTGGGAGCGGTTGCAGACGTGGCTGCGCGCATGCCGTGAGTGCCCTAGCGACCCAGGAGGCCGGGCGGCAGCGCTCAGAAAGGAGAGGCTACCCACCAAGTGCGGCATGCTCCCAGACGAGGACAGCGGGCTGGGCCAGAGGCGGGCGCAGAGTTTACTCGACGACCCGTACCCAGACGTGCTTTCCCTGCGTGCCGGGCGTGACCCGGACGGAGGACCCCAGTGCTGGAATGGGTGCGGGAGGAGCTGCGCTCGCCTCGACCAGGGCTGGGGCTGGTACTGCTGTCGGACGTGCCGTAATACGGATGGCGAAGCCCATGTGCCCTACTGTCAGGCCCAACATGAGGACCTCCAGAAGATGCAGAGAGAGGCAGGCTACCGCCCACCGGCCTGCGAGGAGGCGGGTGGCAGCGGTGTCAGGCAGCAGGGGAGGAGGCATCGAGGCTCCTCGCGCCCATGGGAGAGGCGAGCGGCAGCGGCGGTCCCGGAGCCCATGCCGCAGGAGAGGAGGCATTGAGGCACCCCCCGCCCAAGGCGGCGCCGGGCGGCCGCCTGCCCCCCACTTGGGAGGAGCAGCAGCACGCGGTGGTGAAAGCACCCCCACGCGCAGCGCAGGCGGGTCTGCGACCTGAGGAGGCGGGCGGCAGCGGAGGGCCTGGAGCCCAGGCAGCAGGCGAGGAGGCGCAGGCCACGCCGCCACCGATGGAACCGCAGCCGGGATGGGCGCTGCCAGCACCCAAGGAGGCTGTGGGAGGGGGACTGCCGTCACGCTCCCCCCCTCGCGGCAGGTCGCCGCCACTGGCGATGCAGAGGACAATCTGGGGGGGTGACGAGCCGCCACCCGTGCCCTTCCCAGGAGGTGACCCTAGCGCCAGACACGAGTGGTGCGAGTACTGCGGCGTGCAAGGCGAGGGTCGAGATGTGGGCTGCCCGATGTGTCATAGGGTCTACCCCATCTCGATGGCACGGGATCGGGCGCTGGCGGCGCAGAGGGCAGCTGAGGCAGAGAGTGCGGCTATGGCAGCGGCCTGAGCGGTGCCGCTGCCGCTCAGGTCGTTACCCAGCGACGCCCAGCTTGGCGATCTGATCCCTCCGAGCGGGCCGGGCAGGCACGCCGAAACAGTCTCCGACGACGAGAGGTGGGGAGGTTGGACCCCCCAGGGCCGGGAGGCCACTACCCTGGGCGGCGCGATTGCGGCCGGCGCGGCGGGAGCGGGGCCCGCCCAAGCTCCAGCCCGGGAAGGGAGGCAGGTCAGGGATCTGGCCCCCTGCCTCAACCCGGGATGCCCCTACCTGGAGCACAGCGACCCTGGAAGGCTATGGAAGCCGGGCCGCTGCTGCGACAAGTGCGGGGGTCGCCACCACGAGCAGAACTGGGCTGCGGGAGGCGTCACGCACTACAAGTACTGCGAGAAGGCGCCTCACGGCCGCGAGGGAGAGCAGCAGCCAGGAGAAGGAGGTGGAGGAGGCGGCGGGAGCCGCAAGAAGAATAAGAAAAATATGAGACCTGCGCTGGATGGCGCGGTGGTGGAGGGTCGGGCTAGGGTGCTGGCGGCGCTCCACGATGATGTTGAAGAGGAGGAGCCGTCACCTGAGTGCCCACCCCCCTCGCCACGTGAGCTGAGGAGGAGGAAGAGGGACGCAGAGGCGGAGGCCCGCAAGAACGAGCCGCGCATCAAGCTCGCTGCGAGGATGCTGCCAACTGAGGTGAAAGAGGAAGCGAAGTCTGAGGATGAGGGTTCGAAGACGGCTGCAGCTTCGTCGTCAAGGCAGGAGATGAGCGGCGGGGGCGGCCGAGGGGGTGCCCCGAGGCGGCAGGTCGCAGGTTCAAGGAGCTGGCGGGCCGCGTGGAGGGCCGGCGCACCATCGAGAAGAGCGCGGAGTACCGCCGCCTTTTGGATCATGCAGCGCACGCCCTAGCACGGGCTCAGGAGTTGCGCCCCCAGGTGCTCGAGGAAAGGCACGGCGGAACGGCCGCGCCCGAGTGTCAGGAGCGGTCTAGGTCGTCGGAGGAGAGGAGACGCCCAGCGAGCCCGGCAAGGAGGGCTAGCTCAGCCCCCCCCCGGCCTACGCGGGGCATCGGCGTGCCGCGCGCCCGCGCGAGGGAGCCTTTGCCGACGCCGTCACCAAGAGAGAGAACAGTCCCCCGCAGCCCGCCCTGGCGCAGTGCCACCCCGGAGGACGAGGGAGGCGATGATGATGCTGCGAGCTCTGTCGACACGGAGCTGCAGGCAGAGTCGGTGGAGGCCGACGCGGGCGCGAGCAGCGAAGCCAGGATGGCGGCGCTGAGGGCCCCCGGGCCATCCAGATCAAGCGCGATGAGGGCGACGCGGCGGGGGTGGCCAGGAGGAGCGAGGCGTGGCAGAGGATAGGGGCGCCACGGGAGGGCCTCAGCCGGGGGCTGCCTAGGTCTGAGCGCTCCCTATCGCCTGGGCTATCGGCGCCGAGCCCCCCGCCGCTCCACGCATCGCGGCAGGCTGAGGCGGGGGGGCGCCCGGCCTACGCGCCGCTGCCCGGCGGGGACGTTGAGATCAACCCGCGCGCGGTGGCGCGCTACCTAGCGGACAGGCGGAGCTCTGGCAGTGCGGGCCCGGGCGAGAGAGGCGTTCGCACCCACCTCGAGGCCATAGCACGGGGGGCCACGCATGGCCCAGGCCGCCGTCGCGATCGAGGTGGGGACCGCAGGCGCGGCAGCAGTGGAGGAGACGACCGCAGGAGCGGGTGTCTCGAGCGGGCGCAGGCTGAAGAGGAGCTTGAGGCGCTGGTGAGGAGGTGGAGCTACCCCGAGCAGAGAGGAGGGTGGCTCGACTGGGCCATGGCAGCCATGGGCGCAGGCGAGGAGCACGACCGCAGAGCGGGGGCCACCTCGCATAGGGGCAAGAGAGGCAGCAAGAAGGCCCGCGGCCCGTACGAGAACAAGCCGCCCAATCTCCTTGGACAAGAAGCCGTCCGAGCGAGCGCCCGCCCGGATGACCTCGCCCTGACGGACCTCAAGACGCGCGAGGACTGGGAGAAGGCCAAACTCGAGCTCATTCTCGGCAAGCTGGCTAGCTCCACGATCAAGTCGTACAGCATTGGCTGGAGGTGGTGGACTCTCTTCTGCCGCACGAGGGGAATCAGCCCGCTTCGCGAGATCGCGCCAGAGAGTAGAAGGAATCAGGAGGAGCTGCTGCTGGAGTTCGTCATCCACTTAGCGCGCCGCTGCTGCAAGAAGGCGGGCACCATCAAGCAGTACCTGAGCTCGGTCCGAGCCCAGCACCTCGCGCTCGGCATGGGCGACATCACGGAAGGCTCTGGCAGGCTCTGGATGGCGATCGACGGGCTCAGAAGGAGGGATGGCGGCACCAAGCGCAAGAAGCCAGTCACTCCCCGCATGATGAGGTGGATCAGACGGAAGCTGCAGCCAGAGAGGTCGAGAGAGGGCGCAGCTCTGTGGGCTTCGGTGGCCACGGGCTATTTCTTCCTCCTGAGGGCCAGCGAGTACGTCTTGAACGATCAGAACGGCTACATGGGCAACAAGGGCCTTCGGGGAGCTGACGTCACCCCGAAGGCGAGTGGCGAGCCGACCCGCGCGTGGGGCGAGGCGAACGAGGTCGTCATCAAGATCGGGGCCAGCAAGACCGATCAGTACAACAGGGGTGAGTGGCGCAACCGCTTTCGCATCGTGGTCAAGGAAGATTCAGATCGAGCTGAGCACATCTGCGTGGTGGAGGCGCTCGAGATCTACGCTGGTTGGGCCAACGAGAGGTTCTCGGGCGCGCAGATGTGCGACCCCCTGTTCGCTTTCGACGACATGCGCTTGGTGACGCGTGCTGACGTCCAGCGCGTGGTGATGCAGTCGGCGGTGGCGGAGGGCATGGGCCCGAACGACCTGGGCTCGCACAGCCTGAGGATCGGGGGAGCGTCGGCGCTGTACGCGGCATTCAAGGATATCGCTCCGGCGCAACGCTGGGGCAGGTGGAACAGCGACGCCTTCCAGGGGTACCTGTGGGAGGCGCGCGGCATGGCAGAGGGGGTCGCCAGCAGCATGGCGGCCGCCGACATCACGATGGTTTGAGAGGTTGCGCAGTCGCGTTGGCCGGAGGCTCAGAGCGCGCGGGTAGCAGTGGCCGATCAGGCCTGTGCTGAGAGCGCAGGGGAGTTTCGAGGCTGGCAGCGCGGCGCTAGGCATAGCCAGGAGTGCTGGGCTGCGCGGGGCCAGGCCCCCCCGCCAGTGCGCGCGGGGGCCCCCGAGGTGGGCCCAGCGGCGCGCCAGGAAGAGAGCCGGTGCAGGACGCACCAGAGGGGGCGGCGCGGGCCGCCAGGATAGCACGAGGGAGGTCCAGCAGCGGCGGGGACGCCGCTGCAGAGCTCGTGCCTGCGGAGTGGACCGCAGGCGCCTTGGTGCCAAAAAAGGGCGCTCGTCCTCCTCGCCATCATCAGGAGGTAAAGAGGCGAGGAGGAGGAGGAGGAGCTTCGAGGCAGCTTGAGGAGGGAGAGGAGGTTTGTCGGAGGCGGCCTGAGGGCTCAGGGCCTTCAGGCCCAGGCGAGCCCGATCCGCCGGGGGGCCTTGAGGCGGAGAGTACAGGAGGAAACGTGATCGTTCGTGAGAACAGTGGGTTTCCTCCCGCCTCGCAGCCTCCTCTCTGCTCTTGTCCTCTCCCGCTGCCGTGTTTCTCAAGGCTCCGAGGAGCCGCTTGCATTTTGGGGTCCCACCCACCCACGCCAGAGGAGGTGGGGCCCCAGCCGAGTTTGCTCGGCGGGCCCCCACAGGGGGGCTCGCACGCGCTTGCCGCATCGCGGTCGGCGCGTCGTTTCGCCTCCCGCGGGATTCCTCGCGGCGGGTCCAGCAGCGGCGGGGACGCCGCTGCAGAGCTCGTGCCTGCGGAGTGGACCGCAGGCGCCTTGGTGCCAAAAAGGGGCGCTCGTCCTCCTCGCCATCATCAGGAGGTAAAGAGGCGAGGAGGAGGAGGAGGAGCTTCGAGGCAGCTTGAGGAGGGAGAGGAGGTTTGTCGGAGGCGGCCTGAGGGCTCAGGGCCTTCAGGCCCAGGCGAGCCCGATCCGCCGGGGGGCCTTGAGGCGGAGAGTACAGGAGGAAACGGGCCAGTCCTCGACGCATGGCCGCTTTCGGCGCCAGGAGGTGATTGGAAAATCGGCGAAGTAAGCTGCTTGGCAAGTCCCCCATTTGCTGCGCCCCTCTTTCCTCCAGCCCGCCTTGTCCGCAGAGGCCCGCATCGTTTCGACAGAAAAACGGGCGCCCTTGCTCGCCCTTGCCTCCCGACGCCCCCCCTGCCTCTCGTTGGCGGCTGGGCGTCGGCGCTAAGCACCGGCGCGGGCGCCACCCCGCGATTCGCTCGAGCAGGGGAACTATGTGTTTTAACACGCGCCCTCCACGGATTTGTTAATCACAAGCTGACATTGCTTTGCGAGTAGTTGAACGTGCTTGCCTAATTAAGGAGATGTCGGAGAAAGAGGGGAAGGAGGAAGGAATCTCAGGGAGGAGGCTGAGGAGGAGGAGGAGGAGGAGGAGGAGGAGGAGGAGGAGGAGGAAGAGAGGAGAGGAGGGGATGATCAGCACCAGCAGGAGTGGGATCCGTCCAGCCGTCAAGAATGCCTCCAGGGTCGGCACGGGGTGGAGGGCTCACGTTGCGCCGAGCGGCCTCCCAGAGGGTCACTCCACGATGGCCTCCACGATGGCCCAGATGGCCCAGATCAGGTCTCCAAGATGGTTGCAAACTGTACCCGCGAGAGCCGAAGTCAGATCTGCGGTCGGGAACTTTGTCGCACCTCCGCTTCTGGTCCTCGCTTTCTACGAGGCACGCCGTCCGCGTCCCAGCTCCCAGGCGTCCATGTCCCGATCTGTTCCCATCACCCCGCCCCGCGAAGCGGAGCGACACGCTGTCCGCTCGCAGGGCATGGCGTGCCGCCGGGGCCGCCGCCGCGACGCGCTGAGGAAGTCCCTGGCAGTAAAAGCACGGGTGTGTGCACACACGTCGTCCTCGGACGCTTTTGCTACCTTCGCGCCTTCAATGAACCCGGGGAGGGCCCCGAGGGCACGCAGACGGTCGACACTAGGACCCCCCCCCCCCCCTGGAGGACACAACGAAGGCGCGAAGACGCCACAGGAGGCCTCCGAGAGATTTTCAAGAGTCCTTCAAGTCCCAAGTCCCCTCTTGATAAGTTTCTGCAAGCATTCATTTTGAATACGGGACGCGCCCCCTTGAAAGGCATCCGCCCGATGCATGCACTTGCCATTCAGACATCAGCCAAGGTTTTTAAAAAAGGATCCACCTTCCATTGCTCTAGCTAAGAGACCTGGGCACAGTGAGGATTCCGTAAAGCTTCAACATGTGCCAAGCGACAACCCCCTTCAGAATCGGGACTGCCCTCCATCCGTGGAAGTTTTGTGCCCCATTCTGAAAGGGACCGCCTCCCATTCGCACAGCTGCCACATTTTTTCCTCACCTGAACGATGGGCTCCCGTTGCGTGTTCCCCTGACTGGCCTCCGTGGCCTGCCCTTGGCATGAAGGAAATGGGTCCTGATGGACACGCGACCTAGACCCTTGGGGGCTCTCCCAGGACCAGTTCTTCCTGAGTGGCCTTCAGACGGTCCCAGTGCCCAGCAAGGGCACCGAGACCCGTTTTCCGCGGGACCCGTTTCCCGTTTCACTCAGGATCCTTTTGCTTCACGGAGTCAGTTTTCGCAAGTTTACTTGCATGGAGGGGGAGGGGGGGGGGCGTCGTGGCAAGGCCCGAAAGGGAATCTGGACTTCACGCCAGCCGGGACTCACCAGCTCGCCGTTTCCGCCAAGCATTGCTTGAACTGGCGCTGGTGCAAATTAATCTGCCGGAGTCTAAAGAGCAACGGCCTCCTGGCGACCAGCTCCCCTCCCGAATCCCGCCCGCCGTCGCGCGCGGCATGCCGGCGGGGCCCCGCGGAAGTCTGGCCTCCAGCCAGCGCTGGGCGCTGCGAGCGCGCCGCAGGAGGGGCCCCTCTCGGCCACCGAGGGGTGCCTGCGGGTCCGGCGCGAGGCCTCCCAGGAGGCCCCGAGACTCGGGGAACAGTACACGGCATTCAGTCAACGCGCATAGTAAGGACAAACGGCTTTCTCAAGGGTACCCTTGGGTCCTTGCCTGCCTCAGCCTCTGCGGCCCGTCCCTAGCAATTTTCGCAGGCCAGTTTCTCAGGTTCCCTGGGGGTTTGGCCGCCTGCCGCCCAGAATACTTCAACTTCGGCCTCCAAGGGTCTTGCGTCCTTACCACGCGTCCTTACTATACGTTTTCACTGTAAACAAAACCTTTCGGGGGCTCCCTGCGGATTTCTTGAATCGGAGCGTCGGCTTCATGGCTCGACTGGCCCCGACCCCGAAACGCGCCCGCCGGCGCGCGCGGAGTGCCGGCGGAACTCCGCGGAAGACTGGCCCCAAGCGCCGGGTGCTCCGAGAGCGCCGCATGGAGGGCCCAGCTTGGCCACCGAGAGGAGCCTGATTCGACTACACCTATAGTGACCTTTCGCCGGAGTGACCTTTGGTGCGGGCCCATCGGGGTTCCCCCGATCGCCGAACGCGATGCGATAGTAGCGTCTTGCGCGCTTGTGTTTGGCCCCCCCGCGGCCCCCAACGAGCCGCGCACCAAAGGTCATTCTTACGTGTAGACGACTGATACGGTCTAAAGATAGCCTTTCGCCTTTCGGGGCTCCGCGCGGATTTCTTGGATCGGCCCGACCCCCCGAAGCCCGCCCGCCGGCATGCGCAGCATCGGGGCTCGGCGGAAGCTTGGCCTCCAGGCTGGCGCCAGGCGCTCCGGGAGTGCCGCAGGGAGGGCCCAGCTGGCCACCGAGAGGCGTCCGCGGGGTCGGCGCGAGGCCCCGGGTAGGCCCCTGGGGCTTCCGAGCTCTTCATCCCGCGTCGTGTTTTGCCCGTCCCGGGGCCGGGAATGGTCCCTCAGCTCCACATGGGGTTGGCGTCAAGGGGAGAGGTGGCGAAAGTTGAGCGCGCCACTAGATCTAACGGAGAAAAATGGAGACCCATTGAGAACAAGTGCCAGAAATCGCAACACATTGAAAGAAATTCAGAGACATTGGATTATATTTCGGGCTCTGAAATCGGTGTGGTAATGTTTCGGTCGGCTTTTTGCTTGCAAAAGTGGCGGCCAGTCGCCCCCCCATTTCCGCGGCCCCCGTGCGGAGCTGCATGGATGACGGCCCGGGGAGGGCGCGGGAGAACTAGCAAAAAACCGGAGCACCCATTTCCCTCAGGACTCCGGACCCGCTTGCTTCATGGCGACCGCAGCCCCCACCCCGACATTGTCTTCCTGGCTCGCGTGGAATGCTGGCGCCAGTTCGTTTAGAATTGCACACGACATCCTGTGGTCAACCTTTGAAGGTAAATTCAGTTTGCAGGAAGAACATGTGGAACAAACGCACGGTGTATAATTATTCAAGGCCTGGCAAGAATACAGCCAACTGGTCTGCTCAGGCGCCCATCCGTCCAGGGTCGGGCTTCCAGGCCCTTCGCCAATATCGTAGGGCGAAGCGCAGTTCCAAGCTCGTGAAAAAACATAGTACAAGCCCCTACACACATGTGTATAGATATGTAGAGCTGCGCAAACTTGTTGAACTCAGGCTCGAGAGTTATTGCTCCTGTTTTTTGGTGGCCGATCCTCTCGTCGCCGAGGCCGATGGGAAGAGGTACCTCGACTTCACCGCGGGCATTGCCGTGAACTGCCTGGGCCATTCAGATCCTGGTTGGGTGAAGGTTGTATCGGATCAGGCGGCCAGGGGTCCACGCATAATTCTGGCCACACAGGGAGAGGCAAAGGGAGGATTTGAAGGAATTGCGCACGAGGGATGGGAGCCTGTCAGAGACAGATAGAGAGAGAGAGAGAGAAGGAGAGAAAGACAGATCGCGAGATCTGCTTAGCCAGCCGAGAGGCGTCGCTGCGGCGATGCGAGTGTGCTCTAAATTTGTCTCATGCGGCCCGGCTCCACTCAACACTCGTCAGTTTAATTCAACATGCAGCGCCCTGCTCCATTATGCGGTGAGCTGCTCTGCCTTCCCTGCTCTGCGGAACTCAATTTTAGCGCGTAGCAGTGCCCGAACTTCTGGGATTACAAGAATTCGGTCCGGGACGCCCAAGATGGCCTCCAGTCGGAAAACAAAGCGCCCAAGAAGTCTCAAGAGGCTTCCGAGACGCCCAAGAAGGCCCCGAAAGCCTCAAATCATTGATTTCCATCTGGTTGTTTAAATAAGTTGTTGTTGCGACAAGACGCCGGGAACCCCAGGGGCCATGCGGCGCGGTCCCAAGGATTTGGCAATTTGAGATCCAGGCTTCTCACAGAATCCTCAGGATCGAGGACTGAGGCTCCTAGGAATCCGACAAGGGACTGGAGAACAGTTCAACTCGTGCCTCAAAGGCACGGTGGCGGATGGATTGAGATACGTTTCTTCAACGATGTGTGTATACACATATATATATATATATGTGTATATATGTATATATATATATATATATATATATATCAATTTCAGTAGATATGCATATGCACGTGTAGGACCGCCCTTCGGGTGATAACGAGTTTGAGGGATATGTTCAAGTGTCGGTATGCGATGCCCGCCCGATCGTGCATATATATATATATGCATATACATATGTATATGTATATATATATATATGTGCGGAAATACATACATGTCACATACATACATACATGCATACATACATACATACATGCATGCATGCATGCATACATACATACATACATACTCACACATACATACATACATACATACATACATACATACATACATACATACATACATACATACATACATACACACACACATACATACATACATACATACATACATACATACATACATACACACACATACATACATACATACATACACACATACATACATACAGGCATACATCTCGAAATGTATCGATCCTGCAGCTTCCTGGTCTCATTGTCCATCCGTCGAGTCCACTATGACAATATGTTCCGGTATCACTATATACCAGTCTCAATGAACATTGAAGGACCCCACTGCCAAAACATCAATACATCTCGTACCTATCGGTTTTGGTGTGTATATATATAGCGTTCCAAGCCCGGAGGGGGGCCCAGCCCCATTCCCCCATGGCGGCGCTGGGGCTCCAGGAGCTTGCCTTCCCTCTCCACGACGACTTAGATGACTTCCAAGACGGCCAAGATGGCTCAAGATGGCCTCAGAGATGCCTCCAACACCGCCAAGAAGACCCCATGACGCCCCAAGAGGTCCCCAAAAGGCCTCCCACGAGAGCCTCAAGAGACACAAATGGCCCCATCCCCGTCGGAAGACCCATTTTGTATCAGATTCGCCTGTTGGGTTTTCACAGCGTCCAGGGCGGCCCGAGAGGCCCCGAAGATCGTCCCAAGACGGCCCAAGAGTCCCCCAAGAAGGCTCCCAGACAGCTCCAGATGGGCCCCCAGGACGCCCTAAGTAGGTGCCCAGAGGGGGTCCTTGAACGGACATTTGAAGCCCTCCACCCCTAGAGGTCCCCAGAAGTCCCCACGAGGCCCCCAAAAAGGTTGTTCACGAGACCCCAAGAGGCCCCCTCGAGACCCCAAAGAGGCCCCAGGAGGCCGCCAAGAAACTCCCGATAACCACCACAAGGTCCCTCAGGAAAGCACCGCAAGGCTTAAGATGCCCACAGAAAACTCCCGATAAGCCCCACAAGGTCCAAGAGGCCTACAGAAAACTCCCGATAAGCCCCACAAGCTCCCAGAAAACTCCCAACGCAACCCTGAGGCCCCCGAGGTCCCCCAAGAACTGTGTGCGTCAGCTTGCCAATGGTTGGGGCGTGCTATAACCTAAGCGCGTGCGAAGCGCCCGCGTGGTTCTAGTGTGTGTGTGTACACACATATTTCGTGTGTGTCGTTTTTGTCTAGCTTGTAGAGGAAGGGCGCCCTTTGATCTCAACGTTGTCGTGATTGCTCTCTGTAAGTAGTGCTTTTGGTTCTAGGGAGCTTACCTGCCAACCCCGCCGTGCACCGCGACAGTGCATGGACTGGCTCGCACGAGGGCTGACCGGAGTGGCCAACGCCGGTGCATTCGCCCTGGTCGCTCGGCTGGCTCCTGCGCCGACCCACACCTGTGAGTGTTCGTTCGAGGCCCCGACGGCCGACGAGAAGGTGTTGGCCGTCCTGCAGAGCCAGCTCGACAAGTGCGGCCCCATCGGCTGAATCAGCCAGTGTGCCCCAGCTGCGACTGCAACTGCGTTTACCCGCTTGACACGGGGTTCAGCTACACGACCGTTCTCGCGTTCGGCCTCCTGTACTTCATCGTCGGCATGCCCACCGGTGATTCGTGGAGCCGCAGGATACTACTTCAGATACCGCACAGCCAGCTGCTGTGCCTCGAGGCCCAGGCCCACACATGCCAGCTTCCCTTCGAGCCCTGAGAGGTTAAGATGGCGGCTGCCAGAGTGCGATCTCTTGATATCGCAGAGCAACAATGTCCCAGCGACTTTTTCGAATACGACAGTGGATTCCACTGGCATCACCGCGCGCTGCTGAAGCCCACGCCCGTGCCTGGCCGCTGGATCATCTGCACTCCCGACCTGAGCGTGCAGGTGGCCAGCCTGGACGCTCATCGGATCATCGCTTTGGAGCGGGAGTCGGCCATCCCCGCTCAACGCGCTCGCGCCGCGTACGTCTTCGACCCCCTGCAGCCTGCCGAGTTGGAGCAGATGCGTGCACGGGCAGTGGCCTTGCTGGACATCCTCGGGATCACCAGCGCTGGCCCCGCCCTGCCGTTTCAGGCCGCTTGGAGAGTGGCGGACCCTGCCTGCGCTGGCTTCGACGAGGGGCTGCCGACCGCCATCACCGCCGATCGCGACTCGTTCATGCAGTCGCTGGACGGCGCGCTGGGCATGGCGTTGATCGACGACGAGTGGGTCGCCGTCGCCTCGGCCACTCCCGACAGCCACGACGACTGGTTGCGTCAGAATCGTGCTGGAGGTGGTCGGGGCTCGCGTTTGGTAGGGGGCGCGCGGGTCAACGGAACGCGGTTCATGCCCATGGTCGACGTCGTCTCCACGTCCTCGATCGAGTCGGTGCCAGGCTGGCCGTTCCAGGGAGAGCGACTCGTGCCCTAGTTCGTCGCCCCGCTGCGCGGCGCAGGGTGCGAGTGGATGACGCGCCAGTTGGACTTCGCGAGCAAGAGCGGCATCGGGCGCCAGTCAGGCTTTGCCCGCGCGCGCCGCCGCATCTCCGAGGTGATGACCCACGTGCAGTGCTTCGGCCAGCTGAACTTTTACAATTTGGCGTCGGCCGAGCCCTTGACGCGGTATATCCACCAAATCGAGAGCGCAGTTCGAAAGAGCCCGAAGAACTCAGACGCGAGCGGCGTGGACATGCTTCTGTCTTCAGAGATCGACGAGAACGGCGGCATCATCGCGACCAAGTACCAGCGCTGGGTCAGCCCCGCGCAGCGCGACCAAGCCCAGACCATGAAGCAGGAGCGCCCGCGCGCCGAGGAGCAGGGGCGCGCCGCCGCCCGAGGCCGCGGCACTGGCTCTGGAGGCGTCGACGGCCCCCCTGGCGCAGGACGAGGCCGCGGCGGACACGGGCAAGGCGGCGGCCGCAGTGGCGGCCGAGGCCAGGGGGCGGACGGCCCCCCCGGCGGCCGCGGCGGCTAGCCCCCGCTTGGGGGCAGACCGCGGGGAGAGCCCGCCTTCGACAGACATCGCGCTGGCGCAGGCGACATCGCGCCCCCCGCGGCCCAGGCAGGCGACGTCGCGCTCGTCCTCGGAGCGGCGTGCATCGACCGGCACATCGGCAGTGCGACCCCTTCCCCTTGCCGACTGCTGGCAAGGCGGCTTCCCGCCGCAGGCGCGCCTCTGCCTCGGCGCTGAGGAATGGCCTCCGGGCCCCAGCGCGACATCCTTCAGCGGCCTCATCGACGGGTGGCTCGACGCGGCTCGCGGCCGCCTGCTGCCGCGCAGTAGGCCTATCTCGACCTGATCAAGAGCAAGGACCTGCATTTTCCGAGAGTGCCAACATGCTGCCTTACGATTCCTCGAAGCTCGCAGTGCTTCGCGGCTCGATTGGGCCTCGCCCTCTTCGGCCCGTCTTCCATCCGAGGCTCGCAAGCTGCTGTGCCACGAGAGGCAGACCATCTATCGGGCCGCCGCGGACGTCGACCTGCTGGTGGATGCTGGTGAGATTGCACAGATCCGCCCGTGCTGCGGCGTCAGTCTACGCTTCAGCTCGGCCAAAAGGAGGGACTTCATCCGGGCGACGCACCGCCTCGGGCTCGTGTCCTTCCGACACAGCATCGCCCACAGCGTCGGCTGCTTCTTCGCCGCCAGGAAGAATGGCGACATCCGCCTTGCGGTCGATGGCCGCGAGCCCAGCGCCTTCCATTAACGGCCGCCCCGCGTGGAGCTTGGCCCCGCTGGTGCTCTCAGCTTCGTGGACCTGTCCGATGACGCCCTGGTCTCCGATGGCGCCGGCCCCTCGTCGATTGACCTCGATCAGCGGGGTCGACCTGAAGGATGGGTTTTACCAGTTCGCGGACCAGGACCTGGCCCCGAACTCCGGCTTCGACGTCCCTGAGAAGGCGAACTGGCACGGCTGCCCCCGCGCGCGCGACGAGACCTCGCAGTCCTTCGAGCCCGTGAGCGGCGACTCGCGCGTGTGCCTTGTTCTGCGAGCTGCCCATGGGCCGATCCCGGAGCTTGCACATCTGCCAGCAGGTGCTCAGCAGCACCATGCAGGAAGCTGTCGGACCTGATGCTGGTCCTCGCCTGCATCGCGAAGGACGCCCGCAGCTGGCGCTGGCCTTTGACCGCCCGCTCGTCGCCCCCTACGTCGACAGCGGGACCCTGATTGGCCTGGCGCCTGCAGCTAATGGTACTGGGCTGGCCGCTGCGCTGGATACTATTAGTGGTCGGCACCTCGCCAATCATGAAGTAGCCGAGCCTACCAACGTCGCTGAGAGTACTGTCGGGATGGTGGTGGACCTCAGTGACGGCCAGCGCGTTGTCCGCCATCGTGAGCAGCGGGGCTAGCGCCTCTACCTAGTGCTGGAACGCCTTATCAGGCGCGGGGTGGCCGCTGGCCAAGCTATGAAGCGCGTCGCAGGGCACGTGGTGAACCACTTCATGCTGGCCCGCTGCGCCCTGGCCGCGCTGGATCACGTCTACAGCTTCATCATGGACTTTGGGCCGAGGACTGGCCGATTCTCAGCTGCCCTGACATCCGAGCTCCGCACCATCAAGGGGCTCGTCTTCTTGTGTCAGGCCGACTTGGGCGCGCCGTGGAGCAGGATTGCCAGCGCGTCGGACTCTTCCATGCTGGGCTACGCGCTCCACCTCGCTGCCGTCGAGCCTGACGAGGTCGTCCGCGCCGCTCGCAACAAGGAGCGCTGGAGGTTCAGCGAGGCCGACTTCAGCCGCGGACATGGCGCGATGACTCCGAGGTCCCCATGACCTCCGCCGACTTGTCCCCAGCGGCGTGCCGTCTCGCAGACGTCATGGACATGGCCCCCCCGCCTGGGCGCGACAGGGGCGTCGCGTCCTGGAGGCCGTCCGCCGCCTCGGTCTGCCTAGACCAGCCTGGCGCCACCCCCCCGCTGGAGGACGAGCTCCTCGCCGCCGACCGGTGGCGCGGAGTTCTCTGCGTCCGACGCTGCCATCCATGAGAAGGAGTCTGGCGTCCAGCTTCTCGGCCCGCGCTTCGCTGGCCGCGGCCCCAGCTTCTACGGCGGGAAGGTGTTATCGATGGGGGGCAACATGGGGGCTGCGCTCATTTTTGAGAAGGGGCGCGCCAAGTCGCGGGCCCTGAGGCGGACCTGCCGCGACGCGGCCTCGCGCCAGCTAGCGCGAGATCTCCCGGCGGCAGCGCTACGCAGAGTCAGCTCGCAATCCTACAGACGCTGACAGCCGCCTGGCCGACGCCGGCCTGCTTCGGCCCGGCGCCGTTCGGCGAGGGCACGCCCGCGACTTCGAGAAGATCGTGGAAGGCAACCAGGCGCTGGCTGCTGCTCTTCCAGCCGCCGCTCGTGCGCGGCTCCGAGGCAGCTGAGCTCGGACGCCCGCGGCAGCGCCGGCGCAGCGCGGCGCCGCCCCTGGGGCGGACTTCCAGCCTGACCCATCAGCAGTGCAATATGAGGCGCGTTGGGCGCGCAGCCCGCGGCCGGCCGCCGCGAGACATAAGCCGCCTCGCCCCTCCAGTCCCCCAATCGCATGAAGGCCTCCAGAGCCCGACCCCCAGCCCTGCTCCTCCTCCGACTCGCCCAGCTTTGCAGCGGGCCATGCTAGAGGTTTTCGCTGACTGTGGCCGCTTGTCCGCTGCCAGCCTCAGTGCGGGGTTGCATATCGCCGCTCCGGTTGACAACGACCGAGGGCCTCACGTGTGCGTCTTGGATGGCCGTGTCTTCGCCGCGTTGAAAAGATGGATTGCCAGCGAGAGGATTTGGCACGCTCATGTCGGTACCCCTTGTACTTTCTGGAGTCAGGCTACGAGCACCTCTCGAGGGAAGCGCGCTCGAACCGGTCAGCTATTCGCTACCCGGACATTATCACTTCTGCATTTTTCTTGTCGCCGCAATGCGCGCTGGTCGCTCGAGATCCTTGCCTCCTCTCGGATCTGGAAGCGGGGGCCTTTACAACAGGTTCTTCCTCAACAACATCACGTCGCCGTTCGCTACGATTGCTGCGCATATGGTTTTACATGCGTCAAGCCTACCATCATCGTTGCCGACGTCGATGATATGTTTCTGCTGTCCCGTCGCTGCGAGGTGGCCATCACCGTGGACATCTTCAGGGAAAGGTCGTCGTTCCGTCGAGTTCTGCGTCGTTATCGGCCATCGCGTCGACCACCCCAGCGACCGCAGTTTGGAAGGCCGCGCTGGCTTGGGAAGTATCGTCCGTCACTCCGTCGCCACTGGGCTTTGATTATTGCCTCAGTGGCTCCTCGCGGGGCTTCCGCGGCATGACCGTGGCGCGCTGTCCAGTCGCTGGGAAGTGGAGCTGGCGCGCGCCTGCAAGCGCGACCTCCAGCAGCCGCTCAGGGTCGCCAGCCTCTCGCGCCCGCCTGGCTCGCCGCCGGAGTGGGCGGCCGCCGCCAGGCAGCGGGGCGCAGGCTGGGGGCCGTGGATCTTTTCAGGGCCCGCCGAGCCAGCGAGGGCGCCGGCCGCGGCCCGCCATCGCCAAGCTGCGGCGACAGGCTGTCGGAGACGGCCCGCGCCCCGCGGGGTGCCATCGAGCGCAGCCGGCGCCGCCCGCGACTCTGACTCGCTATCAAGACGCCTACGAGAAGTTATTGGGCTTCGCAAGCGAGCACGGGCTCAGCATCCAGGCAGGAGCCGCAGTCGACAGCAGCCTGAAAATCTATGTGGATCACCTGCGGTTCGACGGCAGAGGCATCTACGACGCTCGAGTCGCCGCGCGCGGGACCGCGCGCGTGCGGCGCAGCAACCTGAAGGGCCCGACTGCGCTGCAGCTCGCCCGCGCCGCGCAGCGAGGCTGGCAGAAGCGCGCGGGAAACGTCTCGCGAGCCCCCATGCCACAGCAGGCTTGGTTTCTCGCCTGCGACAGGCTCTGCGACACCGGCAACAAGGCCGATCTCAGTGCCGCCCAAGCCCTGGTCGCCCAGTTCGACGGGTACTAGCGACCAGGCGAGGTGTGCCAGATCACCGCGAACGATATCAAGTTGGCTCCTTGGGGCCATCGAGGCGCCGGCTACCCACTTGCCATATCATGATCGCGGAGCCCTCGGAGGGCGACGACGGCGGGGCCTCGCGGCGGCCCGGGGTGATGCCTCCAAGAAGGCCGGCCGCGATCAGGCGGCTGGCCTCCCCGCCAAGCTCAAGGCAGCGAAGCGAGGTAGTTCCGCGCCTTTGTTCGGCCTGACCTCGGCGGAGCACGAGCGCCGCTGCAAGGCCGCCTTCGAGGCCTGCAGCCTTTGGCGCCTCCCGCCTCACGCCGCGAATGGCGCGCCACGGCGGACCCTCCACTGATGCACCGCTCGGCCTTCGCGCTGAAGATCAGATCCAGTCGCGCGGGCGCTGGATGGCCAGAAAGAGCGTCCTTCGCTATATGAAACAAGGCCGTCTGATGCGACAGATTGGCAAGGTGGCTCACACTCTGCTGCAGAAGCACAGATCAGTCTCCATTTCTTTGTTCAGAAAGCTTCTTCGCTTCTGAAGGCTCGTGCCCTCCCTGCCTTGCCCCTGCTTCGCCCACTCGCCGAACCATGGTTATGGGATATGGGAGCTGGCCGCCTGGTCGCACGCATCTCGCGTGCGAAACTCGAGAGTTTCAGCCGACCAGAGTTTGACATTCGAGGGTCTCGAGACCACAGTTGCCGCGTTCAAAAAACGTGCGGGCAGGCTGTCGCGACTTCAAAAATTTCCTTCTGGAAGGCACATATCTCAAAGTATGTGAGGGCCTAGGTGTTTTGCCCAGGAGTGCCACGATTGTCCTCCGCTCCGCCCTTTTCCATTCACGCTGGCTGCCGGTTTTCCGCCCTTCCGCATACTGTCCCGAAGAGCCGTGGAGCAATTCAGTGTGTGCGCTTGTTGTCCAGCTTGTAGAGGGAGGGCACCCTTTGATTTCAACGTTGTTGTGATTGCTCTCTGTAAGTCGTACTCTTGGCCCTCCCTGCCCTCCCTAATAGAAACACTGTTGGGAGCTGGCCGCCTGGTTTTACGCTTCTCGAGTACGAAACTCGACAGTTTCAGCCGGCCAGAGTTTGACATTCGAGGGTCTCGAGACCACGGTTGCCGTGTTCAAAGACCGCACTTCCGCGTTCTGTTCCGAAGGGCTTTAGAGCAATATTTTTCCCGACCTAGGCTCTGCCTAGGCCTAGAAAGGTTCTTACCCTTTTAGCTTAAATGGGCCGGGCAGTGGAAAGCGCCCCGGGCGGTTCCCCCAGGATCCGCCCCGCGGTTCCCCCAGTTACGCCCGCTGAACTGAGCGTTGCTTATCTCATCTTAGCTTAGCTTAGCTTAGCTGAGCTTAGTTGCGCTACAGCAGCAGCAAAACAAAGCACTATCAACGCAAAGCAAAGCAAACAAAAACAACAGCATAGCAAAGGAAAGGCAAAGCAAAAGCAATGTGCAACAGTACGATCAGAGAGCCCACCCAGTGAGCGAATGCAAAAACATACTTGTGTGTGTGTGAAGGCAAAGCAAAAGCAAAACCAAGCAACAACGCAAACAAGCAAAAGCAAAGGCAACTACGACGATGAGGAAAAGGAGGAGGAGGACGGCGTTTACCGTTACTACGAATGCTGCTTTCTTAGGGGCTCCAACTCCTAGGTAGGGTCGCACTGGGGTAATTATATATAGATATACATATGTGGTCGTGTGTGTAAATATGTAGAGGTTGACGTGACAACCGCGGAACCACGGGTAACTACAAGACAACCGCACGACAACCATGGTACAACCCAAAGCACAATCACGGGTCGACCACAGGACCACCCACCGGGACAGCTATGGGACAACCATGGGACAACCATGGGACAGCCCACGGGAGAATCACATGACAATCCAGCGGAGAGAGTTTGTGGTCACGGCCAACACATGGTTTGCCTCGCGCAGTTTCGCCTCGCTCGCAAGCGCGGCACGAACCGAAGCCGAAACCGATTTCTTGGGTCACTGCGGGTTGACAACCCAAACCTCTAAAAGTGGAGGCGTGGCAGGGAAGGAATGAACCGACAACGGAGATTATTGAATGGATCCCCGATCGACCCATTCTTTGTGGACCGCTGCAGGCAGGGTCTGATTATCGGTCTTGCATCGAACAGTGTGGATCGTGCGCGCAGCGCTCAGCAGGAATCGTCACGGACAACTGGACTTTCTGTTTTGTGGAACGTCACCTCGCTCATTCATGTTGCCTCCAGGGGCGGCCTAGTTTTCGTGGTCAAGTATCAGTTCGCTTTCGACTGTTCTTATCTGGTCTTCTGCCGTTACCTTTGGACGAAGAACAATGGCAGATTATCGCCGTCGGCAGCGCACGGGCTTAGAAATTGAGTCGTGTGCGTCCAGTAGTATATTGTATTGCGAGTTGCGTGCATTAAAATTAGAAAACGATCGCGTCACATGTGCGCACATGGTTCAGAGGGAAGCGGCGCGATCGAGACATCTGTCCCAGTAGTGCCATTGAGACAGGCGGGCCTCTTGGTGCACACGTCGAACTTGTACCTCAATCCCGAACAGGCGCCCGACCGACGATGCAACCTTACCTGTTTGGCGGATGTGTGGTTGCCAGTGTGTTTGTATTCCGGTTTGTGACATGCTCGCGTCGACAAGATGTTGCCGCCACGAGGGCCTTCTTTGCCCAACCGAACAGTGATTCGAACGTGCCCCGAGCAGGCTTCATACAGATTATCTTGCATTCTTGCCTGATTCCCCGGCCCTCTTCGTTTCGCAAGCCTAGCATCTTGGAATCATGGCCATCTGATTTCATAGTTTCACCACGCCCTCCCCGTACTTCTATCGTCCACGAACTGGTCAAGTAGCACTACCCAGTGCTATGTGCATGAACGAGGCCACGCACACGCACACATACATACATACACGCACACACGCACACACACACACACACTATTCCCTCTGGCGCACTGGTGGGTTGCAGTCGGCGGGAAAACAATACAAAGACGGGCCACGCACGAAGTAACTTAAAGCCCACGCGGGCACACAGTTCGGGAGAAGCGCGCACGCTTCTGGGCAATCAGGCAGTTGCCTGTGCCCGGATGTTATGCAGGCGACCGTGGGAAGTTGCGGGGGCAGCGAAGCACAGTATTGCGGGAAGGTGACATCCGTACACTCACGCAGCTACACACCCAAGCACACACACACACACACACGCGCACACGCACACACACACACACACACACACACACACACACACACACACGCGCACGCACACACTGTTCCTCCTGCGCGGCGCTGAGTTGTAGGTTGTGTGCAGCCAAGCAGTGATGCTGCCAACGCGAAAGCACACAAGCACGAACAAACACGTTTTGAGCAGGAGCGGCCTCGCGCGCAGCGACCAGTTTTCCAGCAGGCTGGCGCGCGGGACGCGCGGGACTGGGCTTTCCAGCAGGCTGGTTTTGGATCGCCGCGCTAGCAGCCGTAGGAGCGCAACCCATAGCCACCCGGGCGTGGATGGCAAGGGGGAAGAGCGTTTCCCACTGCGGGACGTCATCATCATCATCATCATCATCATCAGCATCATCATCATCATCAGCATCATCATCATCATCATCAGCATCATCATCATCATCATCATCATCATCATCATCATCCGTAGCCATTTTGGCTCAAGTTCGAAACGTGCGACCCTGGCACTTCGAGCTTGGTCGCAGCCGAGGGGAAAGCTCGAATCCTGGGCACAGCTGCCCTGCTCTGCTTCCCCCCTCTCTCCGACCAGATCGGATCACGTCCTCGTTCTCAGTCAGTGCTCTGTTCGGCGGTGCCATGGCGCCGAACGCTACAGAGCAAACGATCAAGGATCTGGCAGCTCAGGTGGCGAAGATGAATGCGTCGGTCACGAAGGTGACGGAACAGGTCGCCGAGCTTGCCGAATCGATGAAGACTTTGCAGGAGGGTTTGAATCAGCAGAAGAAGAAGCTAGCAGAGACGGATGCGGCGTTGGCGGCGTTGAAAGCGACGGCATCAAACAGCGGCGGCAGCAGCTTCGAATTCAACAGCGACGACAGTGGTGAGAGCTCGGCGGAGAAGGCCCGTGTCAGTGCTCGTACCAGGCTCGGTAGCCAGGGCTTGCTCTCGAAAGGGATTGTTGTGGGCTTTGGGGATGAGTTCACTCGTACGGTCCTCACTAAGGCTAGTGAGGAGATTCTCGCGTCGTGCGCCAGTGCTGAAGTCCAGGCTCAGATGAAGGGCAATCCGCAGAACTTCTCCAAGAAAGTGATTATTACGTTCCCGTCTGGTGATGCAGCTTCTGAAACGATCGAGACCTTTCGTAAGAACTTCCCCGACGGCTACTCCTACACCACTCCTAAGGGCCCTCGCATTTTGCGCCTTAAGCCTCTCGGGGATGGGATGACTAACAAGCCGCTCACCGTGATGGGGAATATTCGTTCGGAGGTCGAGTCGGTTGTGAAGACAGTTCCTCAGCCCGCTGGGTAGAAGGACGACTCGTCGGTTGGCAACGGTTTCATCTTCATTGTTGATGAGTCGAAAGGAGACGCCCTTAAGTTGCACAGCGTTCAGAAGCCTTCGACAGTTTTCGAGCAGCCGCGTGTGATCGCCTTCGCCTGTCACTTTGAGCAGATCGGTCTTTCGGGTAAGCACGATGAGATTGTGGCAGGGGTGGCGGAGCAGTTGAGTCTTTAGCAGCGGTGCTCCAGAGTCTAGCACATCCGTGGAGGCGGGGTGGCTGACACAGGAGGTAGCCTCTCTCCTGTGCGAAGGCCGTTTCGACAAGGCCAAAAGCTATCTAGGGGAGTGCGGGGCGTCGACGTTCATCCCCTTCCCTCCGAAGAAACCGATCTCGATCGTCGCGTGGAATGCCAGGGGTCCATTCGCAAGCGTGGCTAGTAAGGAGTCTCACGGTCACGAGGGTGACTCGGTCTCGCTTCGCAAGGAAATCACGTCTCACAGGTTCTACTGCAATCTTCACCCAGATAACTTGTAAGATCAAGGTGTACTCGTCTGCGTGCAAGATAAGCTAGCTTGTCAGTTCCGTGGTTTCACTCAGAAGATTCTCTATCTTTGTAAGGCGCCGTACGTTCTTGGATGGGGTGAGGCTGGTCTCTTGGGGATTGTCGCCGTTCACCTTCCTAACGTCGATGCAGGGATTGGTTACTATCGTCACTATCTCTCTTGCATCCAGTCCGCTCTTCTCCCTGCCGCTGCTGCCGCCCGCATCATGCTCGGTGACTTCAATTTTGTCTTCAGTGATGAAGGGGGGCTCAAATTAGGTGACGGGGCCCTCACTCGGGGTGACACGGCTTTTACTCGTGAGTGGAATGGTGCCTTTGGTTCTTGGACGGGGCGTTACCAGCCCGTCGATACTCGGCGCGCCCGTCGGGGCCCCAAGGTTGTATCGACGGCCCGCCTCGATCGAGTGTATGTGGACATCCCCCCTGCCGTGCTTGTGGACCTTGTCGTGATAGGAGCCGCTATCGGGATGCCCACTAATCTCAAGAACCCTTCTGACCACGTCCCCGTGTTGGTCACCATTGCCCCGAAGCCTTGTGTGTCTGACGGCCCTCCTCCGATCCCCGGGTGGGCCCCTGCCATTGAAGAGTGCGCGGTGTGTCTGGACAGGCTGATCGCAGACATTGATCGGGGTCTCCCGATTCGGTTGCAGCTCGCTCGTGCCAAGGTGGCAACGCACGAGGCTTATGCTGAGTTTCGTGAGATCCTTCGTTCACGGCTGGCGACGACTGTCCATGAGTATCTGCATTGGTGTATCTCTGCTCTGCGAGGGTTTCGAGCTTCCACATCCTATCTTGTTGTGCGTGCAGTGCGTGCGCATCCGTTTCTAACCAGCTTCTTTGACGTGGATGCCGGCGCGTGGCTGCATGCGCACATCGCAGCTCTTAACAACCAGTTGTTAGATGACGAGGAGGAGGCTCTCCAGCACGCGGGCGAACTCCCCGGGCACGAAGTGGCACGCCGTCGCGCGCATGTGCAGCGCAATAGGGAACGCTGGCGCAGTCTGAACAAGTCGTTCCGTCTTGGCAACATCTTGGTTGAGAGCACGGGTGCGCCTTGCACGTCGGTCCAGCATGCGGGTGCAGAGCTGTCACGTCATTGGGGTTCGGTCTTCGCGGCCAAGCCCCCCAACCGTTCGCTCTCGCCGACTCTGTGCCAGCACATCCAGCGTGCCGAAATCTTCTGTCCGAATCAGGAGTGGATCTTAGATGCCGACGCTTTTGGGTCTCTGGTCAAGAAGTCTGGGAACTCTACGCTTGGGATCGACGGCCTACCGTGCGGCTGCTGGAAACGCCGTGGGGCTCAGGCGATCCTGTGCGTTTTTTACCTGAACTGTGTTCGCCGTCCCGAAGACCTTCTCCCTGATGACTTTCATGAGGTTTGATGGTTTTCTTGGCGAAGGGGGGTCATCCTACTGATGCCGCAGCAGTTCCTGCTCGGAAGCCGTCTTCGACCCGACCGCTGTATATGAGATGCACAGATGGCAAGTTGATCACCGCTGCTATCGCTCGCCCGCTCACCCAGGTCAGCACTCATACCATCCTGGGGTCTCAGACTGGCGGGGCCCCTGGCCGTTCGATTCTGGGCGGAGGGTGACGGTCTCCCAGCTCACCTGGAAGGCCGCGATGGAGCTGCCGAGCTCTTCGCGGACTTCAAAGCGGCGTTTCCCAGCCTCATCATTAAATGGACTCTGTTTGTTCGGCCTTTCAGGCTACGCCGACGACCTCCGCTTCTTGATGGCCAACCTGTTCTTTGATTTGGTTCCAGTCTTCCTAAAGCTCTGCATGCTCGCTGATGCTATCGGGCTGGAGCTGCATTTCGGGAAATGCTTTCTTCTTCTGGGAGCCTATGGGGATGATGCTCGTACTCGTGCGCTCCTGGTGTCTAGTGGGGGTGGTTGCGAGCTCTTCTCAGTCGTTCGCTGGTGTCGCTATCTTGGAGTACCAGTAGGCCCTGAGGCTCATATGCACTCCCCCCCGACACAGTGCGACAGGTAGTTCTTCCGCGTCTGCAAGATTCGTCTCGTGGGGGCCGGCCTTGCTGAGCCGATTGTTGCCTACAACGTTCGCGCCGCTACAGTGCTGAGCCACGTTTTGCAATATCATCGCCCGGCTGCGCGGTTATATAAGCTGGTGGGCCGCGCCCTTCAGATCTTGCACGCGGGCCCGCAGGCATAGATTCGGCAGCCCCATGATGAGAAACTTGACGGACGCAGGTTGTAATGCCCAGTGTGCCTCCATCAAGCATATCGCTCTCGCTTCGGTGCATCGAACTTCTCAGGGGTCTGCGGCAAGGACCAAATTCCAGAATGATCTGCGTCAGATTCGCGAAGACTCCTGGGATCTGATTCCATACCGGCTACATCGTGGGTGGTTGACTGATTCGCTTTTGAGTTAAACGAATGAGGTGTATGTCCGCGCTGCTGCCCGCGCCCGCGTGCTGAGCCCTGGAGCCCCCGAGACTGTTACGCAAGCCCAGATGAGCAAGGCCCTTCGAGATGATGAGCGCCCTGGTGTGGTCCTTGGTGAAGT